ATTTTTCATCTCTTCTGCAGTCCTGTGGTTTATATTCTCATCTATTAAATACAGTTGGAGACATTAGTAGGTGCTTGAATTATTGTCATTTGCATACCTGTAAGCCTGAGTACAAATGAGATGAAACAAGAAATAATGCTGTGACAGATCTAGCATGTGCTAGGGGGGGCTGATTTCATCGCACATGGCACTACGTGCATGAAAGGTGTTGCGTGGTGCCAGTGTGATCCTTGAAGCCTCCCTTGGGACTTATTTCCACTGCAGTTTCTGCTGCCAAGGTGCTGCAGTGAGACCCCTTAATCTGAGGCTGGAGGGTTTCCTTTCCAAGAGTGCAGAGTGGAGTTCTGACTGATAGCCTTGCTCTGGCTTTGTTTCGCGAGAGCAGTCCTTAGCTTGCCTAATACAGAGTAACTGGGGCACAGGCAGGTGCTCTCAGCAAAACTGAAACCTTCACATGTTTTTTAACTATGATAGAAACAGTGCCTTGTAGCAGCAGTAAAAGAGAAAATAATTCCATGCTCTGGTTGAAGCCGGCTGTGGGGAGGGTGCATAGCAGCCCCAGGTGGCTGCACCAGCAGCCCCTGGCTACACCCCTGCTGAGACCAGGGACACCCCAAAATAGGCAGCACCAGCAGGGCTGTGGGGCAGCAGCCTCAGCCCCGGGATTCCTTAGCAAGTGCAGCAGCACCAGTGAAGTGCCCTTGCTCCCCTATGTGGGCATGGGGGCTGCAGATCCAGCATGGCCACAGCCAGGAATCACACACTGGGGCTTGCTGGGTGACCAGAATCCACCCAGCAGCCAGAGGGGTGTGGGGACACCACTGACGGTGTGGCCACTCTTTGTTGCCTAGTCCTGGGCCACCAAGGCATGTCTCATTGGGCACACACTGCCATCAGTCCTGGGTATCATGGTCTAAAGGCAGCTTGGCTTTGATGATCTCTGAAGTTTAAGCATTGCACTTACAGGCAGAGATAGCCACTGGTGCATGGACCAGGCAGATGTGGGCAGAGGGAGGAGGGCTGCGCTTTGCTACTCCCACAGACATGTCCTCAGCACTGACATGCTGCAGTTTTCTCCTGCCTCCCTGTTTTCTTCCCTTGGGATCTCATCACTTTCCCTGCCGGTTTTGATTCCCCTTGTCCTTGAGTTCCTGATGATTGTGTTCCTATAGTCCTGTCTCTGCCTGCATTTGTACCTTTTCTTATCAGCTGTTGTGCTGCACTGCTGACTTCCCCAGAGCTTAGCAATCCCCCCGAGAGCCTGGGCAGAGGCTCCACAGCCAGACTCTGTTATGGCGAGGCCTTTTGTTGGTGTCAAGGCTACCAAGGGTCGCAGCACACAGCTATGGCTACTACCAGCTTTGCCCTGCTCCTTGTCCTTTCCCATCAGCTGGCACAGGTGGCTCCAGCCACCGGCATAGCCTGCACGCAACCCATATACAAAGACACAAAGACACACCGAAGCAGAGACCCCTGACAAATATTTTGTTTGCAGAGATACAAAACATTCCCTCTCCGTGGGTACTACCGTGAATTCCTCCCCAGTGTACCCAGGGTCCTCTCAGCCTGGCCGTCCCCTGAGTTACATGGTACACACTGAGGAGCAAAAGGTTGGCTTGCCCTAAATGACCTACTGAGCCACCCTAAAAGCAGGTCACCTACTGTGTAGCCTGTCTGTGGCATCAGACCTCAACTTGTGAGAGTCCAAACTTCTTTCTCACTTTTATACACTACAGCATCCCACCCCTCAAGATACAGAAAGCTTATTTGCCACTCTTGTGGGCTTGGGCATAACTGCAAGGTCTTTAAGTCATTTACATTCTAAGAGGAGCCACAGACAAGGACATGACCTAGGAAATGGGATGCTGAACCATGGGATGGGTGCATATTTTCTGAAAGGAAAAGTGATTTTCTCTCTAGGAAAAAACCTTCTAGTGACCCACAAATTGTATTGCAGATCATCACATAAATGCACGTATTTCCCATTATAAATTAAAATGACCGAGTCCTTCCCTTGAGCTTTGTTAGCTGGTTTTTGCAACTTTATGCATCCTGCGACGGAGTCGAGGCTTTCATCAGTGGCCACTTCAGTAGCTTCAGACGGTGATCACACCCAGCCGTGGAGCTGGGATGATGGGAACCATGAAAGCGAGGAGGGGAGATAAAACTGGGTTGATGCTCTGAGCTTCTATTAACTAAACTCTTGACTGAGGTCATGTTACTCCTCCTCGCTGGTGCCCGCCAAGGGCGGCCGAGTGACAGCCCTGAGAGCCGGCATTCCACCCGCCCCGCCGCCGCTTCCGCACTGCCCTGGCCGCGCTGCTTTGACACCCTGGGAAATCAGCAGGGCGAGGGAAAACGTTGCAGGCTTTTTTTGTTCCTTTCTTTTCTGTGCAGCTCTTTTCTGCCGCGGGAAGGAGGGAGGGCTGGTTGCCGGGGCGACTGGGGATGGAGGAATCCAGCCAGGGCCGGGGATGGGGCAGGGGCTGCGCCGACAGGCACATACATCGATGTGAGGCAAATACAGAGAGGGGAGAGAGAGCCACCGGCAGCCAACAGATGAACAGTTCATTTTCCTGCAAATAATTCCCAATATGCTACGCTGAACCTTCAGGAAACCCGCCGCTTCCAATGCTTACCTTCGAATTAAGGTGGACCTTGTCTGAGGGCTCCTGAAGCGGAGGGCTGCTGTTCGCCTCTAAAGTGGCTCATTTAAGGGACGCGTAAAAGCTAGACCTGTATTTCCTCTCTCATCCCTCAGCAATGTTCATTTTAGAAGCAAACCTTTCACAGTGTTTTGTTTTCTTCCAGTCTCAACAAGTTCCATACAGAAGATATACTTGAATCCCCCCTCCTTCAAAATGTGAATTTTATTTGAAGATAAAGCAGTTGGGGTGGGGATCTTTCCTCCAGTGTTAATAATCCGTTTTCCTTGAATTAGATTTTAAAATGGCTTCCTTTGAAGCCTCAAGCTGTTAGAAATGAGCTTAGCGTAGTTATGGAGTGTGTGTAAAATCAGCTCCCCCCTTTCGTGCTGAAATGACAGTAATTCTTCTAGTAAATAAGTAATACGCACTGTACAATACACAGAATATGTGGAAATAACAGTGGCAAACAGCCATGGTACCTGTATTTCGCACCGGCTCTGCTGTAACGGGGTTTTGCTGCACCAGCGTTCTCAAGAACACACCCACCGCAGCCATGGGAAAGGTTGGCATTGCTTTTAATCCTTTACCTGAAGCGGTCAGTAGCTAATCCACTGGATCTGCTAATCTTCAAGGTGCTTTTAAACAGGTTATTCTAGATGTGGATGTTGATTATGCAGTTAACATGCCACAAAAAGAAGAAGAAGTAAAAAGAAAAAGTTTGCTTGGAATTAAGGCTACACTTTGCTCCTGAAGCTTGGTCAAACAAATAATAAAATTGCTCCTTAGCTTAGATCAGTAAAAACACATTTCAGAGGGAGTGCAAGCGATCAGATTTATTTTTTCAAAATCACTGTTGAAGAGACGAACATGAGGGTGTCTTTTCTAGCATCCCCTTTGGGGGGCTGGGATGCCTTCTTCCCGCAACGCGAACAAAAGAAAGGTGTGGATGCTTTGGCATAGTCATCAGAGGGAACCAGGTCTTTCTGCAGATCGCCTGGGAAGAGTGTAAAATCAGATCTGGAGTGATCCACAGGCAGGGTTATCGACCTGAATAAACGAGGTTAGAAAGATTAGGGGCGTCGACACCAGGATAGAACAAAGGAAAGCGTATACTGAAGGGATAGGGATTGGAAATGGTGATGAACTTTCATCTGCCCCTCTAGAATAGCTGTAGCCTTCCTCTAGTGGGGTCGCTAAACCCCGGTTTAGTGGGGCTTAGTGAGGTTCATGGGGGTACGGCCCGGCGCCGGTTGCAGGCAATCTGCCCGCGCCTGCCGGAGCTCTGGGCAGCCTTCCCGGGGGGGGGGCCGCTCCCCGCCATCGCCGCACCCTCTGTAACACTACTGTGGAGCAGGCGGCACACACGAGGAGCCGACACGCGGCTCTGGCCGCCCCGCAGGGCACCGGGTGCGGTGAGGACCGTGCCGCCCTCCCTTGCTCTTCCTCCCCCGACCTCCTCCTCCTCCCCGCCCGCTCCCTCTGCGGCCGTTGTGCCATACCGGGATGCTCCCAAATAGCCCGGGGAAAGCACCTCTGGGCGTACATCTTCAACCCTCCCTTGATAACCTCAAAGTTCTTCCCTTTCTTCACCCCTCAGCGTGTGAAAATCCGCAACCATCAAAGCGTTTGCAAGAGCTGATCGCTGCCCATCCGAGGGACACCCCCCTTCCCTCAAAGCCCAACGCCCTGCGGGCCGCACCGGCTGTCTGCTGTCTGGCCGAGGGTCTCTGGTGGTAGCAACCGGGGGGCGGCTGGGTACAGGGCAGGGCGGGCTGACAGGGGTTTACGAGGCACAGCCAGTCCGAGGGCTCCCTGCCCGGGGTGCATGGCTGCTGCCGGCGGGTGTGGACTTGTGCGGGCAGATGGGCGGCAGCTACCGGCGCTTGTGGTGCCCCGCGGGTAGTGAAGTCTCCCGCCAGCGCCGTGTGAATGGAGGCACTGGTGGGGGGGGGGCGGGGGCAGCCGCCGGGCTCCCCCTCCTCCCCTCGGCAACGCCCGCTGCTGCGGCAGGGAAAGCTGCTCGTCCCGGGGAACAAAAGGCTGCGGTTGCCTCCGGACAGCGGGCGCGTGCGGCAGGGCGACGGGGCCGAGTCACACGGGGGCGGCTCAGGGCGGGCTCCCACAACCGTCCTGGGCGCCTTTGTTCCCCGGGGTCAGCAGTGAAACGGGGCGCCGGAGCACGGGCGGTGGTACCGGTACCGGTGCGCCGCGCCCGTTCCCGGGAAGCCCCGCCCCTTACCGCAGGCCCCGCCCCCCCGCTGCGGGAGACAATGCCGCAGCCACGCCCCGCCCCCGAACGCCCATTGGCTCCGCGCTTCTCCCGCATGAAGTCACCGGCGGGGCGGGGCGCGGCGCCCGATTTAATGGGGGGCGCGGGGCGCGGCCGCCGCAGCGGAGAGTGCGAGAGCGGTCGGAGAAGGTGCGAGTGTGGGGCAGCAGCGAACACCGGCACCATGCGTGAGATCGTGCACATCCAGGCCGGGCAGTGCGGAAACCAGATCGGCGCCAAGGTACGGGCCAGCGTCCTGGCCGCCTACCGGGAGCCCCGTGCGCGGGGTGCCGCCGGGCGTGGGGCGGTGCCCGCTCTAGCCAGGCACCGCGTGTCCCGCGGAGAGCGCTTCAGGGAGAAGCCGTGTTCCCGCTGCGGAGCGGAGCGGAGCACCGCCACGGGAGCGTCTGCGCGGGCGGCTCCTGGCTGTCGCGACATGAGGGGTTTCCGTGGTGTGGGCACGGCGCGCCTTTGACTGGGGAAGGAATAGGGGGTGCAGCGGTGCCGTGCATCCGCCCCCCGAGGGCTGCGGGGGTCCTGGTGTGGGGGGTGAGGGGGTACCGATCCGGTGCCACACCCCTCCCGTCGGGGGGGGGGCAGGGGCGCGGTAGTGGCCGCGTCTGGCGGGGGCCGCCCCCACGCGTGGCAAATCTCCGCGCGCCACGTGGCGGGGCTTTGGCCGTGGGGGCGCGGGCGGGGCGTGGCGGTGCTGGCCCCCCTTTCACCTCCCGTTAACCCCACCCGTCCCTGCAGTTCTGGGAGGTCATCAGCGATGAGCATGGGATCGACCCCACGGGCAGCTACCACGGGGACAGCGACCTGCAGCTGGAAAGGATCAATGTCTACTACAATGAAGCCACCGGTAAGGACCCCCTGTAATGAGCTTCTTTCCTGTGCCATTGGGGTTGGCAGCTGAGGTGGTCCCCAGTGCCTCCTGCCATGGAGGCTGTGCCCTCGCCTTCCCTGCTGTGGGTGGTGCCCAGGCACAGCTTAAATCATGGAATTATAGAATGGTTTGGGTTGGAATGACCTTGAAGATCATCCAACCCCCCCTGCCAGAGGCAGGGACACCTAGCACTAGACCAAGTTGCTTAAAGCCCCTTTCAACCTGGCTTTGAACATGGCTAAGGATGGAGCATTTACCACTTCCCTGGGCAACCCATTCCAGTGCCTCACCACCCTCACAGTAAAGAATTTCTTCCTTATATCTAACCTAAACTTCCCCAGTTTAAGTTTAAATCCACAACCCCTTGTCCTGTCACTACATTTCCTGATGAAGTCCTTCCCCAGCATCCTTATAAGCCCCCTTCGGATATTAGAAGTGTGCTATGAGGTTTCCATTCAGCCTTCTCTTTTACAGGCTGAACAGTCCCCATTTTCTCGGCATCTCTTTGTATGGCAAGTTGCTTTGTATTCCAGTCCCTAGATTCCCTAATCCTCCAAGTCATGAGCAATTCCTAGGCAGTCAATTGTGGGGAGGCAGAAGAAAGCACAGCAGGGCTCCCATAATGCTGGTGCTGGTTTCTCCTGCAGGTAACAAATATGTCCCCCGTGCCATCCTGGTGGACCTGGAGCCTGGCACGATGGACTCTGTGCGCTCCGGCCCCTTTGGACAGATCTTCCGGCCTGACAACTTTGTCTTTGGTGAGTGAGTGTGGGATGGAGGAGTCCCAGACTGGGAGCTCGGTGCACAGAAAGGAGTTGGAGCAAGCATGCAGGTGACCCTGGGGGGCCTGAGTGCCAGTAGCACGATGGGGATGGATGGAGGTGAGGGGTGCAGGCTGTGGGGCAGGAGAGGTGACATCATCTCTGTTCCTGCTTGGGGCCCTACTAACGGGGCACCTTGCTTCTGGTGTGCCCCGCAGGTCAGAGCGGGGCTGGCAACAACTGGGCCAAGGGGCACTATACGGAAGGCGCTGAGCTGGTGGACTCTGTCCTGGATGTGGTGAGGAAGGAGTCGGAGAGCTGCGACTGCCTGCAGGGCTTCCAGCTGACCCACTCGCTGGGTGGCGGCACGGGCTCTGGGATGGGCACCCTGCTCATCAGCAAGATCCGTGAGGAGTACCCCGACCGCATCATGAACACCTTCAGCGTCATGCCCTCTCCCAAGGTGTCGGACACGGTGGTGGAGCCCTACAACGCCACCCTCTCTGTGCACCAGCTGGTGGAGAACACGGACGAGACCTACTGCATCGACAACGAGGCCCTGTACGACATCTGCTTCCGCACCCTGAAGCTGACCACCCCGACGTACGGGGACCTCAACCACCTGGTGTCGGCCACCATGAGCGGCGTGACCACCTGCCTCCGCTTCCCCGGCCAGCTGAACGCCGACCTGCGCAAGCTGGCCGTCAACATGGTGCCTTTCCCGCGGCTGCACTTCTTCATGCCGGGCTTTGCGCCGCTCACCAGCCGCGGCAGCCAGCAGTACCGAGCCCTGACGGTGCCCGAGCTCACCCAGCAGATGTTCGACTCCAAGAACATGATGGCCGCCTGCGACCCACGCCACGGCCGCTACCTGACGGTGGCCGCCATCTTCCGGGGCCGCATGTCCATGAAGGAGGTGGACGAGCAGATGCTCAACGTGCAGAACAAGAACAGCAGCTACTTTGTGGAGTGGATCCCCAACAACGTGAAGACGGCCGTCTGCGACATCCCCCCGCGCGGCCTCAAGATGTCTGCCACCTTCATTGGCAACAGCACGGCTATCCAGGAGCTCTTCAAGAGGATCTCGGAGCAGTTCACGGCCATGTTCCGGCGCAAGGCTTTCTTGCACTGGTACACCGGTGAGGGCATGGATGAGATGGAGTTCACAGAGGCAGAGAGCAACATGAATGACCTGGTCTCTGAATACCAGCAGTACCAGGATGCCACTGCTGATGAGCAGGGGGAATTTGAAGAGGAGGGAGAGGAGGATGAGGCGTAAGGTTGAAATGGGTAGGAGTTAAGTATAGTCTGAGCAGGCAAGTGTTCATTGAGAGAAGGAATCTGTGCAGTTGTGCTGAAGCATGCATTTTTTAATTTGGTGCTCTCCACTGTTGCTTCTGTCAGCAGTTTTGTATCCTTGACTGTCCAATGTAACAGTAGTTGCAAAAATACTTCTGAGTCCTCTGTTGAAATGGTTAACTTCTCAAACATAAAGGCTTTTTGTGTCCTAAACTGTCTCCTCTTTCTTATTCCTCTCTAGTTTAAGAGAACTCTTGTGTGGTTTTCTGTAGCTTCACTTCTTGGGTATTTTTCCTTAACATTAGTGAAAGGCAAAGTTCAGTAAAACAAGATTTCTTAGGCTGTGAATTTAACAGCATGAAGATGGAGTTGCTCAGCTTAAGATGGCAGCTAATTTATGGAAACTGGATTCATTGTTGGGACACTCCTCTGTCTAGCAGAAAGCTGCCTTGGTTAATAGAAACAAGACCCAGCACTTGAGAATCCTGCAACTCCTATACATGAATGTACATAGTAGTGAGGTCAGCAAGAACGTATTGAAGCCCACATTACAAGCTGTCAAAACTGATTTGACAGGATAGCTCTAGGCTTTCCCTTCTGCCATTCAGCAGCAATTTGTTAACTTGTTCCAGTGCCTATAGTACATATGTGTGGGTGGCTGCCTGAAATTTGACTTGAACCTGAGATGTTTTATCTTTCCCCCAATCTTCCTCTCTCAGTATAAAAAGTCCATGCAAAGAAGCATGGGTCTGTACTAATGTACAACTTGAGCTTCATTAAGAACCTGAACTGCTTCTCCTTCAGGTATAAAATTGTTTCCCAAAAATAGCCACTAATCTGCCCTTAACTGTAAAGGGATTGACTCAGCAAGGCAATAAATTCCATTTGGGTGATGAGAGATGATGGCTAGTTTTCTAGGTAACATGGCTTGAGATGCTGCCTAGAGCATACATGCAGTCTTGAAATAGTCATCTATCAATACCTTAACAAGAGCAGTCTCCTGCCTCACAAGTTACACATTTACAGGACTGTTTGGTGCTCTTGGTCCCTGCAGCAGGAAACAGACCTGCGAGAGCAGTGTAGCAGCACCCTTTTGTGCATCTTTGTGAAGGTAAGTGTGGTTTCATTACAGTGAGCAAGGGGGAATCAATGTGACTCTATGCTTAGAGGATGCAGGAACCCTGAATGGATCTAAAAGGCAGCTGTCAGAAGTTATAGGGTCCAAGTCTTTTCTATGAAACAAGAGTAAAATCTCTCATTGAGTACAGCAGTTGCCCAATGTATGCATAGTCCTTAGTTCACACAACTATCACTTGGGGGAATTTTCTGGTACTGAAAGTGTTGCTTTGAGAGCTGCTGCCAATGCTACAATTATGGTGGCCCTGAAAGAGCTGATATCCACATGTGTGCTGCCTCTTTTGTAATCCTTCAACGAAATGGTTGCAAGGCATTGGTGGAATAAAGACAAAAGGGAGCTGCTGTGCATAATATCTTGCCTGGTTTAGCTCTGTTAATTGACTCTGCTGCCTGCAGATGCTGCTCTGGGTATACCCTGTTCCTTTGCTGATAAACCTATTAAGCTGGAATGAAGGACAACAGGCACTTTGTAAAGCTTTTCTCTGGTCTATATGCTTCATTTCTGATGTACACCCTGTAAAGAAGGGTGAGAAGCACTTAAGCTGCCTTAACTGTCAGTAAACATACAGAGCTGTATATATCTATAGTAATACTTGTATTTCTTAGCTCTTGAGCAGTTCCAGGATTAAGCATTAAACACATTGAGGTTGTTTCAGTAACTGAGGGAGTACATGCTGCCTCAGGCCCTTTGGGGAAATAGCACCTTATCTGGTTGTCAGAGTAACCTTCCCTTGGAATTACCTAGCTGAGTTGCACTTGAAACTGTTTATCATACAGCTTTGTTTGTAAAGCTGAGGAGGAGAGCCAGCAAATGAATTGAAATAAAGTTTAAAGGATGAGAACTTGGTCCTTGCCTTTCCATAGCAGGTTTCACTAGTGTTCAGCATGTCTAGCTTGTAGTTCTTAGTGTAATTACACTCTGTCTCTAGCTAACCCTTAAATATAGCTGCACAAGAGACACATTTCACTACAGCTCCCTTACTAGGAAGCAGGGCACCATCCTACACTGCTTGTATTCTGAGTTTGGTTGTTGGTTTTTTTTTCCTGTTTCTGTTGTGGGAGAGAAGCCATAAATAGAGATACTTTAGACAGCAGCATGTCCTTTCATAAATCCTACGCCTCATATTTGCCAGTCATAATCATTTAAAAAAAATAAATCGAACTTATTTTGGTAGCTGAGGAAAATACTGGGAATAGGGATACTGGAAGATGCAAAGGAAAGGTTCAGAGCTCCATGATAGGAACTGTAAGTCAACTATAAGGGAGGATGAGTCTCTGCAGTGGGCTTGGGGGCTGCAATACCATTTTCTTTTTGTTGGATCTTTTAGCTTTAGCTGTATCTATCACCCAGGAGACCATTCACTATAAAAACCGGAGACCGACTGCTGTACGCCAAACAACAAACAGATGTCTTCACAAGTGCTCATAGTTGCACTTTTTCTGTTTTGCAAAGAAAGCAGAGCCACAGAGAGGGTTTCAGATTGGGTAATCTGACTGCCTTAACCTCCACTGGGTGTTGATTTGTCCATGTGATGAACGATGCCTATAAAGCTAAAGGTCTTGCATGAGGTATTCTGTTTGGAAAAAATGAGTGTAGATAGTACAGACCTAGTGGTGTGCAGCTTAAACGACTTACAATGATGCATTTGTGTTGAAACAGAAGTTAGTAATATCAGGCAATATATTTTTGTTTCAACATATCAGTGGTGGCCTTTGTTGACGATTACAGCTGATGGTGTTGGGGAAGGAACAATCTCTCTTTTTGTTCCCTTTAAGAGTGTGGTATTTTTAAGCACATTAGCAAAATGTCTTTGATCAAGGCAAACTTCTGTCGGTGGATATAAGATGATACGTCTAAATAAGGCTTTAAAAGCAGTGAGAGGTAGTATGTAGGTTTAAATAGAAACGGAATGAGGTGTGGTAGCACTGAGATGCCATCTCTCCTAAAATCTCTTTGCTGTTTGGTTCTGGGACCTCAGTCTACGCTGTTGTACCAGTATAAACTGGTGCATCAGTGTAGACTGACTGTAGACTGGTCTATCAGTGTTGTGAAAGGATAGCCCAATATGTGGTCTGGTTCTTCAAACCGCTTAAGTACCTGTTGAGAACACAGTCCTACATCTGTTTTCTAACAGATGTTTCCTGGTCTGCCAAGTGGGAGCATTAACAATTCTCAGCGTATGTGAGGTGTTCCTATACATCAGAAACTGGGTTGCACTAAACATACAGTGGTCACATGAATGTGATAATCTATGAACAAAACCTGAGGCCCATCTTGTTGACAGGTGTATCTTGCCAGAGGGTATGAGGTGAAGAACACGGTAAACCAAAGTAGCAATAGGATTTATAACTTGAGGAAAGAAGGGAAATCCAGATCTTTGGTCTCTTCTCCAGCCAATTCTCTGAAAAATGAGGCAAAATCCTAAGCTTCTGTGCAGGCAGATCTGCTTATGGATGATGATATCACATGCTGCATACTTCAAAAGAGTATAGTGCTTGTAGGTCTTTCTAGGTATCTGTACAAATATATGTGCTTAAAGAATTCTGAAATTCTTGAAGAAATCTAAAATTCATTCATGCTATAAGCACCTGCCTTTTGATACTCCAGCAATTACCTGTCCAGGCCTGTTAGTTATTAAGACAGGAAAGAGCAGCCTATTGGAGCTCAGATTCTTCCATTTTGGAAGGCTGTTATCTTTAGCTTGCCTACATGTAAATCCAAAATGGAAGCATTTAGTCACAGGAAAGTGCCTGAGGCCATGGCGCATTTTGGAAAAAGACGTTTCTTGGCCCTGACTCTCTTGGACACTTGTCCAGCTGGAGCCCTCTGAGCATTTGAATCCGAGGCAAGGGGAGGGTATCAGGGGAGATGTGAAGCCTGTTCCTCCCCCTTCCCCCAGCCATTCTGCCAGCAAAGGACACAGTGCAGGTGACAACTCTTTCCTCCCCCTGAGCAGTTTAACAAGCAGCAAACTGCTTCCCTGCTTCAATCCCATTTCAAGGATTTTATTTGTGAATCTGCCAGAGAGAAAAACAGTGTCTTTTTGAAGTGTGTGGAAAAAAAAAAAGAAATAATTTAAGAGTAGGTCATTCCCTCACTCAAAGTCATTTTTCCCTCACTGCCAGAATTCCTCTCATAAGAGAGAAAATCAAGTCAGCTTTGTTAAATTATTGTTTACTAACTTCTCGTTCATGTAGGGTGGAGATTTTCTAAGTGGCCTCAATTTATCTCGTATGTCATCTTTTATAACCAGATTATTTTTCTTACTTGGTAAGTTTAAGACATATATTTTTTTCTTTTTGGCAAGACTGCCACTCTCATTGCAAAGAGAAATGATAGTGCAAATTGCAAACAGGTTAATAACCCAGCTTAAGCACAACGTGAAAACACTTGCTTCAGAGGACAAAGTGGCTACCCTGGCAGAGGTTGTGTAGCTCGCTCTGTCAACAGTCCTTTGTTGTTTTGCACTGAAAAATGTTTCCACATTTTCTGTGAATGTAATAGAAAGATACTGCCTGCCTCCATGGTGAATAATTAAACAGGATTTTCAAGCTGGATTCAAATGGCCTCACAACAAGCTTTACAAACATGAAATGAAATTCAAGCATTAACTTACAGTCTGCTGCTCTGCATCCAGCACAATGCTGGTCTTACAGTTAATAAATTGATTGTATGGCTGGTTTTTGGCAATTCCAGCTCTACCCTAGCAGGCTGTGAGAAAGCTTGCATTAGAGATTTCCAGTGCATTGAGAAAACTGCCAATTGACTGGGCTGGACTGATTCAGTATCTTCCAGCTGCTAAAAGGGATGGTCCTATTTCCTTTGTCCTGCTTCAGATGTTACCTTTGTGTTATTTCCCTTAGGCAGCTTCAGGGCGTGTCTGACCCCTCTACCAGCTGGTTCAGCTCCCTAAACTTCATAGTTAGAGACAGTAAACTGGGGACGGGGAAGTAGCTGCTTCTTGGATTATGGAGTGCACCAGGGGGAGAACTGGTGCAAAGGAGGAGGAAAAGGCAGGCAGCTGGAAGCAGGAGGGAGCAGAGCAAGATGTTCAGTAGATTCAACCACCTGGTGT